TAAAATACATCCCATATATACAATTAAAACAATACTAGAAACAAAAAATCCAAGAAGATGGTTATCCACTGAATTTCGGTGGACAGGGTGGGGTGGGGGGCTAGACTGTGTGTCAGCTGGAAACCTTAACAGTTATGCCACACTGACAACCTTGAATTCCCAGGAGGAGGAGGAATGAATCTAACAACTGCCTACAGTACAGTACACACTTAAGAACGATGCAGATAAAGTGCAATGGGTGCATGCAACTGGTACGTGCAACCGGTGCACGGAGCTGGTGCACGCAACCGGTGCATGCCTCGCGCAGCTGACCCACGCAAACTCCGGACCTTTTAAAAAAACAAAACAAAACAGCACCTCCTTGTCCCCAGCTGAAGATCAAAAAATTCAGCAGCTGGATTCTGTGCCCGGCCCCCTCTCACCTTGTAGCAGGGAGCCAAAAGCCTCAAGCTGCGCGTGAGAACCTTCTCCTTATAGCAGGCAACCAGGGCCAGCAGGTCCGGGAAAGACCTTGTCCCATTCATGTAGAAACCGCCCTCGCCGTTCTGCAAGATCTTGTAGTGCCTGGCCAGGGAGCCATCACGGACTGTGAAATGAGGGAAAGGAGATTTAAAACAAAGGGGGGGCACAGGAACCCCCTCTCCTTAAAGGTTTTGGTCTCTTCCTGTTCCCCTAAGAGCTGGAGCGATGGGGGGCCAGGGGCCAGCTTGCTGGGGGCCGTGCTGCTGAGAACAGCCAAGGAGGCGTTTTGCAGAAAACTTCTATTTTTGCCTTTGAAGATAACACATCCCATTTGCAATGGGTGGGGGAAAGAAAACGGAGTGGTCCCACGGGTAAGGGGTGAAGAGAGTCCTGGTAGAAGAGGGTTGTCTAGGAATTGAGCATAAGACAATATCTAGCCGGCCGTGACCGACCGTAAGATCAGACCTGGGTTGTACTTGGATGGGAGACCACAAGGAAATCCTCCAGGCCAGGAGGTGGGGCTGCAAAATCAAAACATTATCTTGGAAGAAAGTGATGACAAACCTCTCCGGCACCGTTGCCAAGAAAACAAGGGCGTGTGCCCAAGGCCGTCCCCAGCCTCTTTGCCTTTAGGAAATTTGCAAGGGGACCCAGAAATGCCTTTGAAAATTTTCCCAATTTTTGCGAAGTTTGAATTGCCCTTGGGGAATAGGAGCGATTGCTCTATATTTTAAAAAAAAAACCTTTGGCATCTATTTTAATGAAGTCCTTAGGTCAG